GCTCCCTGCTTGTGGCCTGAGAAAGCAGTGGTCAATAGCCCAAAGCCTTGGGACCCTGCACCCACATGGAAGACCTGGAAGAAGCTCCTGACTCTTGGCCTCCGATCAGCTCAGCTCCGACTATTGTGGCCACTTGGGGGAACGTACCAGGAGATGAAAAATCTTTCTCTGTTCCTCCTTCTCGCTGAATACCTGCCTTTCAAATCAATACATAAATCTTTTTTTTTTTTTAATCTAAAATTCTTTTCCTAGTTTTTAGGCATACTTATACTGCCTTTCCAAATAGAACTGAAGTTCTCAGAGGGCAGAAGGTATCACTTAGTTATTTCCATGTAGCCCCCAGGAGAATGTACAATAGAAAAATTGCCATAGAAAGTTCAGTGAAGGAATGTACTTGGCTCATTTTAACCCTAAATGTGAGGCATCTCAGGCCTGAGTCTCTGGCAGGTGGCTTGCCCCTCACAGACACAGGCAGGTTGAGTTGGTCATATCTCTTGGCCTGAGCAAGAGACTATACAGTCCCATTAGGGAAATCCATGGTCAGTCAGATATAAGATGCATGATTAATCACCTTTTGCTCGATTGTGTCTTCTGTGAGATAAGCCAGACACAGAAAAATACCACAAATATTGCAACATTTTTTCAAAAGAAAAAGGAATACCTATATACTACCACTTTTGCTAAAAATAGATTATTGTCAAATAGAACCTTTGTCAAATCAAGCAATGGGGATTGCATTTAACGATTTTGTTGAGTATTGTCAAATTTACTTGTAAGTGAAGTTGAGCATCTCATTTGATTCTTGTTTCCAGTTCTTGCCTACTTCATTGCTGCATAATGGTCTTCTATTTATTTGGCTCTTTATTTTACAGTTCCATTAAGCCTGACTTCAACGCAAAGTAAAAATATTATCTCAAAAAAGAGAGAGAGAGAAACAGAATATTTCTTTCTCTCCTCTCTGTAAATCTGACTTCCCAATAAAAATAGATATATCTTAAATAAATAAGACAGCTGGGGCATGAGCTGGTGCCCACATGGTATAACCAGTAAGACTGGATCCTGGCTTTACACCTAGTGCCACAATGTTTGTCCTTCTGAGAACTAACACATAACACATTTAATCATCATAATGATCCTTCAAAAACATCCTTATTTTCCCTGTGGAGAAACTGAGGCAAAGGGACACTTGCACTAGTACAAAGTCACAGGGCAGAATCACTCAGCCTCTGGGACAGTGGCTCCCAGCCCCCACGGGATATTGGGTGAGGTATGGACACAGCATTGGTTGTGGGTTAGGGGAGAGCTGGCGACCTGTGGGCAGCAGAGGCAAGGGATGCTGCCATGGATCCTTCAGGCACAGGATCGCCACACCCCCGGAACCACCTGCAGATGCCAGTGGAGCATTCTGTCAAGATCCTATCACAAATGTAAATCATCTACCAGTCCAATGACTGACATTTCCTTCCCCAATTAGATGGGTTAAATCTGATGATTTGAGAGGACAGGTCATGGCTATGTCACAGCCCAGGGTTCCAGCTTCAGCAACAGGCTGAATTACGTTTACAGCAGGCCTGTGGCTCGCCTGCTGCACTGCCATGTGGGAGCCACTTCAGCCCTTAGGGCCCCAGGCTTTCCTGGCTTTCCTGTTGGTTAGTAGGTTTGGTAGTGATCCCTTTCGCATAAAGATGAGGTGAGATAATGTGAGCCAGACACCAGCCCAGTATCTGGCTCCTCTCGGAGTGGAGTCTCATGAAGTGGCAGTTGCCGTTGTTTTTAGGAACAATTAAAAGCTGTCACAGTGGTGTGTGATGGAGTGGCAGGTGAGTCACAGGAGCAGCTCATGCAGGGAGCATGGAGGAGGGTGAGGCCCTTGAAGCATGGACAGGGAGGAAAGAGGACAGGCAGAGGGGAATGAGATGGGGCTGAGCCCCGGGGTGGGGACAGAATGGTGGAATGGGAGTGTGGCCCATGGGAGAGCAGAAATTAGGCTCCTGGGAAGTAGTCAGGGGTTCCAGGTTGGGAATGTTAGTGGAGAGGAATGATCATTCAGGGAGCTTCAGACATGAAAGGATAGGCAGATTCCATCCACAGCACAGCCATGGATCAGGAAAGTTAACCCAGGAGAGACCTTGGGGAGAGACCAGTTCAGCAGGCAACTGCATCAGTCTGGTTGGAGTCAAGGAGGCCTGGGCCAAGAAGGTGGGACCAGCATTGAGGACTCATGAGAGCACAGGGTGGTGGAAACCACAGGTCCAGGTGCTAGCTGGAACTGGAGGAGGCCAGAGTTGACTGAGGTTCTGGGGTGGTGATGGAGGAATTGCAGAGTTGTACATATGGAGAATAGCTGGGTGCTGGCCAATGATGTGTTAGGGTCTGAAATGATGGCCGCAGGGTGTGGTTCTTGGGCACTGAGGCTTAGAGAGCATGAGTTGTATGCAAGCCAGATGTGCTGCACATGGTACATGTGTATGAGGCAGGAGCCGGGGCTGAGGACACTCCGGTCTCCCTCGCTTCCCACGGCTTCAATGCAACATCTTCATGTTTGCCGGGTTTTAATGCCTTCTCATTTTTGTTGCCGTTAATTCATGACTCAATCGTTTCTGACATTTCATTCATTCAGATGTTTCCTACTGAGGAAATGAGAGACAAACATAGCATCTGTTGTCAGAAAAACTCCAATGTGGCCTGGAACCAAGTAACTTCCCCCTCAGGGTGGCTCAGTTTTCTCATCCATAAAATGGGAGTCACAGCACCCTATCACAAGGTTTCTAGCAGTGACCTAAGCCAATGAATCCAACAGACGACTGATCTAAGCTCTTCGTTCAAATTGACATGAAAGGCATTGTGATCAAATTTATTTTCTTATGGGAAACAGAGGCACAAAGCAGGGTGAAGTGGTGAAGCTCTGTGGCAGAGTCAGCTTTGCACTGAACCCCTGTGACAGTTCACTCTTTGTGATCAGAAAATGGGAAAGGAGCTGTGCTCCTGGACCCCCAGAAGCAAAGGCCCTCAGCTCACTGCAGGGGAAGACCCTCAAGAAGTCATCAAACCCATCTGGGTCCAAGGCTCAAGCCACTGTGGGGGTCCTTGGGAGTATCTCCTTAACTGCCATACTATGGGAGAGTAGTTGGCAGGCCCTCCCTATGTGTGTGGCCTTGAGTCCATGTGTGGCACAGCCTGGCTCAGTAACAGCTGTTAGGTCAGAAAACATATTATGGCATAGGGTTCACTGGGTGTGTCTTCAACTGAAATGCAAGTCCTACATGGTTCCCGTGTGGAAGCTGGTTACTAGAGGATACTCCTGGTGTTGCACCGTGTTCATGGCACCTGCCTGGGTTTAACAGCTTGGTGAGAGGAGAGAGCGGGCGACCTTGCGATCTGCCTTGTGTTCATTCTATCAAGATGGATTTGTTGTGTGTTGTTCATGTGCCAGGCAGAGTTCCAGGCTCCAGGGATGCAACAAAGGGCAAGACGGAGCCTCCTTCTGGTAGCACTCGCATTCTGGGAGGCAGGAAAGAGAGTTAAGAGAAAGACAAAGGAGTAGAACAGACATAGGTTCTCGGAAGAACAGGAGCAGAGCGAGACAGTTAGTTCCTAACACATCTAGCATTCTTAGATTCTGAATTCCTAGAAGTGGACTTCCTGCGTCACAGGTGGGCGACAGGCATCTTAGACATCTTACCATTTATTTTCAAAAGTTTTCAGCATTGGTCATCTCAGAGCGTATTATGGCAGTAAAGGTGTTTTTGGGGGGGAGTACTTTGCAAGTTGTTTTGGTTTGCATATCTTAGCTTGCTAATGAGGCCAAACTCATTTTTAACCATTGTACTCTGCTTTTCTAGGAATGTTATGTTCTATTACTCGAATTGCTTTGTTTTCTGCACATCCAAGGCAAGGGCTGCCAGGTGTACACTTCCAGGTGTGCCAAGTACCTGAAAAAGGCTTTGTGGAGAAAATGAATTACAAGGAAGTCTCTATTGAAGGCTAGAAACAGTGTGCTTCTGACAAAGGGTCATTAATCCAGATAGCATGACATGGCAATAGTTGCCACAATTAATCCGAGGCCTGCTGTATGCCAGGAACTTTCCAGACCTCCATCTCATCAAACCATATCAGTTAGTCTCGTGGCCCCTGGGAGGTATGAGGAATTGCCCTATTTTGTAGACAGGGAAGCTGATACTTGCTGTTCAGGGAATAAATAAAGGGACTAGGCTAAATAGTTTCCCAGCAGTGAGTGGCACTGCTGGAGTTGAAAGCAGGTGTATAGTGCACTGTAGAACACCCAGACGGCAGGTAAGGCAGAAGTCCACCGGTATATGTGTGCATGTTAAGCTACACAAAAGACCAGCAGAGGGTTTGCAGTCGATCCTGTCTCATGTAGCAAACAAATAGGGCTCCCCTGGGGGATTGGGAGGCTGTGGCATAGGGTGAGATGTTAGAGGGGAAACTTGCATCACCAACACAGAGGTTAAGGCAGAAGTTGAAGGGTGCACAACAAGCTGCCTGGATTCAAGACTTGAGTGGAAAAACCTTGTAAGAAGCCATTTCGTTTGATGACAGCCTGGGGACAGGGTTGAGGGAGTAGAAGAGGGCACTGGGATCCAGCAGTGCAAGGAGTGAGCAGGATGCCCTCCCTATCTTCTCTCCCAGGAAGCTTTGCTGTCTCCCTCTCTTGGCAAAGGGGCGCCTCCTCTCAGTGGCTGCTGATGTTTTATTTATTTGAGAAGAGTGACAGAGAGACACAGAGGGGTCTTCCATTGACGAGTTCACTTCCCAAATGGCTGCAGAGCCAGAACCTGGAGCCCCATCGTTGTAGGGGCAGGAGCTCCCAGGAAACCACACCACCATCCATCTGCTGCCTCCCCAGGTGCATCCGCAGGAAGCTGGATCCAAAGTGGAGGCAGAACTGCAGCCCAGGCACTCCTGAATAGGACCTATTATGCCACAATTCTGGCCTACAATAGCTGTTTCTGAAGCTATGTTTTTCTGATCCACAGATCATGGCCCCTTGGCCTGAGTCGGAAAATGCACAGTCCGACCCTAACAAGTATATCGAGGGGGCTGCAGATCAACAGCCCGCTCCACCAACCAAAGACAAAGACAAAAGTAAGTACTCTGAACATGGCTGCAGACAAGCCCCCAGGAGCTGCAGGCCTGGCTTCTCATGGCCTTTGTTGCTTGCTTGCTTGATCAGGTGATAGCAATGCTCCCTCAACCAAGATCGAGCTCTTGCCATCCTACTCCACTGTGGCGCTGATAGAAGAACCTGCCGAGGACAATGACCCCTGGAACCTGCCTGAGCTCCAAGACACGGGGATCAAGTGGTCAGGTGAGCAGGGGACGAGCTATCCTGTACCCAGTGTCCCCCTCCTTTCTTTATTAGTTTCAATGCCCTAAGAACCAAGATCATGGCTAGGGATGGCACCTCTGTTTTTGAGGCTTGATATCCAAGCACAGAGTGGGCTGGAGAGGGGGTGAATCTTTTGTTCCTTCTGCCATCCAGGGGAGGTGCCAGGCACCAGGGCTGCATGCTGACCAAGTCCTGGGTATTGTGGAAGATGCAGTGGATCCAGCTGGGAACAGACGAGGTCCACTAACAGCTGTTCGGGTGTTTCTCTCATCTTACCCTGGGCATGCAGGAAAGCAAGCATTGAGCATTCAGAACAGCTGGGGGGGCGGCAAGGGTGACAATCTCAAATACAAGGCAGGAGGTGTGTCTGGAGATGAGCCACGCTCAGCTGGGGGAAAATGAGGGTGGGAGTCAGGGAAGGAGCTGGGAGAAGGGAGAAGGTGAAACGTCCATTACCAGTGAGTGAGAAAACGCAGCAGCCCAGGAAATCTGAGGCCCCAAACCTGGCACAAATTGAGGCTGTGATTGCTACCCGGCAGCCACATTCTAGAAAATTGTCTGAGCTCTTGTGAAGGGGCTTTTGAGGGCCATTATATCTGACCTTGCACTTGGCAGGTGCTGAGAGCTCTTACCTGGCTACCACCCTCATTCACCCCCTTAGTGACAGCCTGGTACAGCCAAGTCGAGCTTCAAACCCAGACCACAGGGCTCCCTCCTGCCTGCAAATCCTTTTAGAGGCTCCCCAGGGCGTTCAGCTAAATGGTTTGCAGCCAGAAGGACCCTAAGAGCTGCCGGCTAGCAGCTTGCTGACCTAGCCTGGCCTGGCCTCACCTACAGGACCCACGAAGGGTGAAGGGTACATAGGAGCTCATCACCAATGTTTTGCTCTAAGTCTTTGTGTCTTTACTCCCACCCCTCACAGACCGAGACACCAAAGGGAAGATTTTCTGTGTCCTCCAAGGAATTGGGAAGTTTCTTATGCTCCTGGGATTTCTCTACTTGTTCGTGTGCTCCCTGGATGTCCTCAGCAGTGCCTTCCAGCTGGTTGGAGGTAGGGGGCGCAAGGCCCAACCCTTTGGGGCTGAAGCTAGGACAATGAGCTTGGTGGGCAGGGACTAAATCAGCAAGCATTTTCAGCGGCAGCCTCCAGAGACTCTTAGGACTCAGGCCCCCTGGCAGAGCGTCCTGTGACTGCTACACCCCCATTGTAGAGAGAAGAAAACTGAGGTCTGTAAAAGAGCTGTGATTGGCTCCGAATGCTCAGGTCCGGGCTGGGGCTGATTCCAAGCCATCAGCTCCTGGTGTGTGTCGGCTAAGCCCCAGGCAGGAAATTCTCTGATATGAAGAGTTATCTGAGGAATTCCTGCCACCTTTGGCCTCCCTACTCTAGGACACTATAGAAGAACAAAGAATATTCCTCTGAGGCCAAAGGCAGGGCAAACCTCAAAGCTGGGCAGGTCAAACAGAGTGGCTCTGAGGTCACTAGAGTGACCCGCCCTTTCCCCTAGCATCACATGGAGGCCACAGGAAGAGGCTGTGCCGTGAGTGGGGCATTCTCAGGGCTCTGTTGCCAACATTTGCAGAGGAGTGGGACCCGGTGCTGACCCACCTGAGAGGCTTCTTCATAGTCCAGATTCAGTCTTGGATCAGAGCCATGGGTTTCTGCATCCCTTGGTGCCTCCCATCTTTGTGGAAGATGTGGGTGTGGGATACTGCTGAGAGGAACACCACCTGATTCCCTGGTTCCTGAGCAGTGGCAGCCAGTGGCTTTAGGCTCTGATTCTTCTTGGATGAGCCACCTTGCATCTGTTGGCCTTGTCTGTAACGGACTGGACAGTGGATTGGCTGTCTCTGAGACGTGCTCTCAAAGTTGACTCTCAGCATCCAGCTCCAGGATGACCCTGGACTGAGGCTGCAGCTGGTGGGGGGATGCAAGGAAGAGAGGTCCGTTGCTGGAGGATAAACTGCCCTGGGAATACATCCCAAAGGGTGAGGACTTAGGAACTCAGAGGTGGCTCCCTGGTACCCATTAGCCCAGCTTACAACTCTAAGAGAAGGCTGGAGAAGGTTGGGAGCTGGGAGGGTTCCAGGGTGTACTGACTAGGAGCCTCTCAGGGGCACAGGGTCAGGGTGGGGACAGCTAGATCAGAGAGATGGTGATGATAGGTACATGGGAATGGCCGGATCTCCCCTGGCACGGGATGGTGCCAGCAGAAGCCACGAGGAAGCCAGATCCCACAGGCAGCAGCGAGAAAGGAGCTCTCCACCCCAGCCCCCGCCCCGGAGCCACCTGACCTCAAACAAAGGCCTGGCTTCTTATTGGCCACATCTGCCCCGTCATGGCCATGGGTTTGTTTTTCAGGAAAGGTGGCCGGACAGTTCTTCAGCAACAACTCCATCATGTCTAACCCCTTGTCGGGGCTGGTGATCGGCGTGCTGGTGACTGTCTTGGTGCAGAGTTCCAGTACCTCCACGTCCGTCGTCGTCAGCATGGTGTCTTCTTCCCGTGAGTGTACCTGCGTGGCAGGCAGGAGCAGTTTGGAACTGACTCTGGGTCTGCTCAGCCCTTGTCAGCACTGTTGTCCTTCCTCTCGTGTCCAGCAAATGTGGGTCCAGTTTCCATTCTGATGGCCAGCTCAGGAAACACATCTGGATCCTGTAGCACTCTGCACATGTGGCCAATTCATTATAATGACCCTCAGTTAGGCTTGAAATAAAATAATTCCTTTTCTCAGCTGTAGGAGTCACATTTCAAGTACTCAACAGCCATCTCAGAGCTAACCTAGTCCAAAGCCAGGAGCCAGGAGCTTCTGGGTCACTCCCATATGGGTGCAGGGGCCCAAGACACTGATTTTTGTTAGAGAAAGAAATGATCCTGCTAAGAACTGGGCTCATAAACACAAACGTTTGATGTCTGGCTTGCATACAACGCCTTCTAAAAGCAGATACTTTGTGCCGTGTCCGGCTGACTCAGTTGTACCTGTGGGGCCTGGAGCGTCTTTGCTTACTGGTTGCTTTCTTTCAAGCTGGCCTTGCATCAGTAATAGAAAGGAGAGAGGAATTCAGACAGGCCCCTGGCAGGGCTTCAGAGAGTTTAGGGGTTGGCACGTGCCTGTGACTGGGTGGCTGTCCCAAGCTTTCATCCTATTTCTGCTGAGGCCCATGAGCCTGCAGAGGCCCGGAGGATGAGGGCCACCACATGGGTTAGTCAGAACATGGAGGCCATCTAACTGAGCTTGCTAACGGCTCTGTCCTCTCGCCAGTGTTGACCGTGCGGGCTGCCATTCCCATCATCATGGGGGCCAACATCGGGACCTCCATCACCAACACCATTGTGGCACTCATGCAGGCGGGAGACAGGACCGAGTTCAGAAGGTAAGCAGAGGTGCTGAGCTAGCCTTGGCTACCCTCAGGCCCTAAACTGGCTGGAAGGATGTGCTTGCCAGGCTCACTGCTTGTGCTTCTAGGAGCAGCCATGGTGGGGGGAAGACAATGGGGGCTGCGATCACTTCTGTACCAATGGATTGAACTCAAACCTGTTTGAAGCCTGGAAGATGGACTCCATGAGCATCTCCCAGGTGGATGGCAGGAGATCAAGTACTTGAGCCATCATCCACTGCTTTCCCAAGCACATTATTAGCAGGGAGCTGGACTAGAAGCAGGACACATACCAGGATTCATGAGGTCCTGATATTCCAGACAGTGGCTTAACTTGCTGTGCCATAACACTGACCCCATTATCTGTATCATCTTAAGGATTAAATACAATTGTGTAGTTAGGTGTTGAGCAAAGTACCTGGCATGTGGTCAAGGCTCACTAAAGGTGAGCTCTGACTGGAAACTTCAAACCTGTTGGCTGGGGAAATTGAAACTACGCCAGTTAGGGTCAGATTGACTGTCTCACCTAATCATAAATAATTATAACTTCCTGAAACTTACATTTTGAGCCAATTTAGTGTGCTATTTTTTTTTCTTCTTTGTTCCTCGCTTCCATGCCAATAAAAGGCAAATTGTAGGTTTGGTGGATGTGAAAGACCTGAGAGTCGGGCAGGTTGAATGTAGACAGAGGGAACACTGTTCTTCTACCACGAGGGTTCCTGGGATAGTCTCCCCCAGTTCACAAAGGGCATTTCCTGAGCTGACTAGGACATGGGGACAGTTCCCAGCTTGTCTCTGTGTTGTGGTCACCATGCAGTCAGGCAGGTGGCATCCAACGTCATCCCCATCTGCTGACGAGCTGGCCAAGTCAGTGGACATCCTTAGTTGCAGCCCTTCATTTGGGTTCCTGAAGAAATGCACTGAGGGCCACAATAATAACACATCAGTGCATCTCCTGCTGGGATCTTCTCAAAACGCTGAGTAGATTTTTTCCCTACCAGTTTGTTAGTAAGCCTGGAAACCCAAAAGCTGAGTGGCTTCAGGCAGGGCCACATAGCTGGGATTTCATGCAGGTCTTCTTATTCTGGACTTGGGTGCTTTTCATGGTTACACTAGTTTTGGCCTCCAGGTAGTCTATGAGATGGAAACAGGAACTCTAATGGGGTGATTGCATGACTCCGCTCAACCCCTGCTGGGGGTATTTCAATATGTTTTCAACATTGTTTTGTCAGTTTTGAAAAGTCTTAAAAAATGTGTATACACACACACACACATATGCAAGGAAAACTATATATTTATTTATTTTTACTGAAAGGCAGATTCCATGTGTTGGTTCATTGCCCAAGTGGCCATACCGGCCCAAGCTGAATCAATCTGAAACCAGGAGTCAGGATCTTCCTCTGAGTCATCTATACGGGTGCAGGATCCTAAGGTCTTGGGCAACCCTCCACTGCTTTCCCAAGCCACAAACAGGGAGCTGATGGGAAGTAGAGCAGCTGGGACATGAACTGACACCCATATGGGATCCTGGCACTTGCAAGGTGAGGATTTAGCCACTGAACCATCATGCCGGGCCCTGTAGAACATCTTTGAGAGTGTATCTTTCTCTCCCAAATTGTTGGGATCGTATTCTTAGATTCTTAGAGTAGTAATTACTGTATCAAATATTTATAAAGCACTTTAAAAACATCTTGCCATACTACTAAGAATTATTTACTTTCCGCTGTGTCAGTGGGATATGAAAGTGTTCTTTAATTTAGCTCAGATAATAGGGAAAAACTTGTCCTTACCAATAAATTCCTTTTATGAGTCAAGCTAAACATTTGCCCTGCTTGTGGATTATTAACTGGTGTTGACCATTCACATCCCATATCCAATTGGGTATTGAGCATCTTGGAGATGCAGAAGTTCTTTGAAGGAGTTTTCCTTGCAGAAAACAGAGCTAACGTGAAGTAGCAAGGTTTGTGATTGTGGGGTTTGGAAGGAATTCAGAAGGAATCTTTGAGCTTCTCCAGATGGATATGGACTGTGATGTCCAAGCCTTGTAGACACTGTTCATGGCCTTCACCATGGTCTCCAGGAGACTAAGAATTCACTTACATGGATGCCTTTGGCTATGACCTGCCTTCTGCCTTCCCAAAGGAAGACTGCCTTCACCACACAGCAGTCATAAGCAGCCCTTTCAAGCAGTGCAAAGCTGAGCAGACCAACCGGCTCTCAGTTTCTTCATCTTTTGAATGGGACTATTACTGCTACCCACCTTGGACTGCCATGAGAATAAAATGAGATTTGCACACCTGTTGTGTGGCACAGACAGGTGACACCTTCTCAGCCAGGGACAGGAGACACAGGTAGATGACTCTCGCTTGTTGACTCACCCGGATGTCGGGGTTCTAATTGGGCTGCAGGGCTTTTGCTGGGGCCACCGTCCATGACTTCTTCAACTGGCTCTCAGTGGTTGTTCTGCTGCCGCTGGAAGTCATCAGCCATTACCTCGAGAATCTGACCAACGTTGTGGTGGAGAGCTTCCACTTCCAGAATGGAGAAGATGCCCCAGAACTTCTGAAAGTTATCACGGATCCCTTCACGAAACTCATTATCCAGGTACCCGAGTCTGCCCAGAGTAGAAGGAGCTAACCGCCTGCCCCTATGGCCCCCATCCCACTGACTCTAACCAGGGGGGAGGTGTGGGCACTTCCAAAGATGGTCAAACCTTAGTGTGTCTGGCCTTGATGCCCTCACATGTGCCACCTTACTGGGGCTGAGGCTGGGGAGTGCTGCGTACTTACCAAGGATTCTCCACTGGGCTCCTGGCACTGCCTTCTCACTACTCCCCCATACCACTGATGCTCACAGTGTCCCACTCAACCAAAAGACCGAGGAGCTGTCTCTGTGCCCTGGTTCCTGGTGTTTGTCCACCTTATGCATAGGAAAGGTTTGGGGGATGTTTTTGCCTTGGGCCCTTGTGCATCCACTTTTATATCCAGTTTTTTCCTGTCTTCCAGTCAACCCCTACTGCCTGGCCTCCAGTCCCCAGAGCTTTTGTGCATAGAACCATTCATTCACCAAGCACCTGCTGACCTCTGGGTACTGTGCCCCACCCTGGGGTGCAGCTAGATGAATCCCAGTTCACTTCTATAGGGTCTCAGGATTAAAAGTCCATCTCCTTAAAGTTCTTCCAGAGTGGCCTCTGACACTCCCACCCTACATCATCTCTAACTTTCTTCTCTCCATTGCCTCTCTCAGTTGGACAAAAAAATTATCAGTCAAATTGCGATGAATGACGAATCAGCTCTAAACAAGAGTATGATCAAGATTTGGTGCCAAACTTTAACCAGTGTGGTAAGTGTTCTTGAATATTCATGAGGCTGGGAGTGGGAGTGGCACTGGAAAGCACACACATTCTTGCCCTCGTGCAATTAGGACATTATCAATCCTGCTTTTGTAGCAGGTCTGTGGCTCAACCTGCCTCCTAAATGTACACATGTCTGATCTTCCTGGGCTACCAAAGGCTAAAGGTTGATGTCATTTGTTCGTGGTTATTCCATGAGCTTTTCCCATTAAGAGGAATAAGCAGTCTGGCAGAGAGAACATAGTGTGGAGCCATTGCACGTGCCAGTGTGTGTCACCTCCCATGCCAGTGCCTGGTTGCCATTCCCATGGAAAGAACACAAAAAGTTTTGGACATTCTTGTGTTTCCCATTCAGGCTGAGATGAACATCACCGTGCCCTCACCTGTCAACTGCACTTCCCCTTCCCTCTGCTGGACTGATGGAGTTGATACCTGGACCTTGAAGAACGTCACCCACAAGGAAAACATTGCCAAGTGTGAGTGCCATTGATGTTTTGGTCCTTTTTTATGAATTTAATTTTTATTTATGCTCATTTTATTTGAGGGAAAAGGTGGAGATTAATCTTGCATTTACTGATTCACTCCCCAAATGTCTACAACAGCCAAGGCTGTACCAGTCCCAAGGAGTCTTGCCAAGGCGTCTTGCTGGGTGACAGGCAGCCAAACACCTGAGCCATCCTTCCCTGCCTCTGAGGATGCTCATTAGGAGGCAGCTGGGTGAGAAGTAGAGAGCATGGGAGGAGAGACTCGAGCGCTGTGCCAGATGCCTACTCCGTTTCTTTTAACAAGCTGCAACACAACCCCTGTGATCTTTGCCCCTAAGATTTTTTACTTCTATTCGCTGCATTCCCTTTTGTGAACCTCTGCAATTTGCCCTCCAGAACTAGTGAACCTAGTACCTCGTCTATCCTGGGTGCTATGTAATACATCTGCTGATATAACTGGAGTCTGCTGGAATTATGAGGGGCATACTGGGATTTTGAAAACCAAGGGGTTTTTAAATTAGCAAAATCACCTATTCTAACTTGCCCTTACTGCCATAGGCAGGATGTAGAGGTAGCAGAATTGGATAGGAGGGCTAATTTGCTGGGCAATTTTAGGAGATCATTGTTTCCCAGTTTTATGAGGTCCACTGGAGAGAACCACACTTAGTCTACACTTAGCTGCAAGGGAGGCTGGAAAACATGGCCGATTCTGGGCTGCAGTGTGTGTGTGTGTGTGTGTGTGTGTGTGTGTGTGTGTGTGTGTGTGTGTGTGTGTCGCTAATGGCCAGGATGTTACTGTGAGGAGGAGGATGCTGGGGACCAAGTCTGTGCTGAGGCCATGATGGCTGTCTGTACCCTGATGAGATTGCTCATGGTCCCTCAGGCCAGCACATCTTTGTGAATTTTGGCCTCCCGGATTCGGCTGTGGGCTCCATTCTGCTGATCATCTCTCTGATGGTTCTCTGCGGCTGCCTGATCATGATCGTCAAGCTCCTGGGCTCTGTGCTGAAGGGACAGGTGGCTGTTGTCATCAAGAAGACCATCAACACTGGTAAGCTGTGCTGCCCTTTCCACTGCCAGCTCTGGGCATCACCAGGGTCACCCTGGAAGCTTCTTCAGTTTTCATCTGGCAATGGCTTCACATAGAACTCCTGTCTTGTGTGCAGTACATAAGTGAAGATGTCATTTGTCCTGGGAATTTTCCTTGGTGTCCTGCATGATGTAAGGGTGCAGGCTCAGATTTTCTTGCCAAGACCCTTGGAATCTTGACTCCAGAGAGCTGGGAGTTTGGCTTCCCTGGGAGGTTTTCGATAGCCCCAGGAAAAAGAGATCAGGTATCCACCCTCATGTTCACTTCCCTTCAATCTGGGAAGGATGTATGGTTCTGGATAACTACATCAACACCCCGAGGCAACCAGTGAGAGCCGACCAAGCCATTGACATTGCCAGTCCATGAAATCTCAGAGCGATGCATCCAAGAGACACCGTCTCCCCAAGTTGTTGGGAGAATGAACTGGGCAGCCCTGGACACTGACCAGCAAGCAGGGGCCTGCAGGGTTGTTCCATTTGCTTGGTGTTTCTTGAGGTGAAAGGAAAGGAGGAAAACAAGAATTGATGGCGAGACCAGGATGGGAGCTGGCTGGGAAGCCTACGTGTAGGAGGAGGCTGGTAGTCTGACTGTGCTAGCCTCTCTCACCTGGCCTCCAGTGAATGTTTATGTCTTCCTAATACTCCCCTGTGTCCTTGACTTCACCCTCTATATGTGCAAGATGAAAGACAACAGCGAAGGAGACTGGTTTTTAGCAATCTAGTCTCTAGCAGTCTCAGACCTTGGCTGGGGTGAGCAGCAGGGTGGGTGAGTACCTGGATGACCCCATGCCCAGGCCAGCCTCTGCCCCCAGGGTGCTGAGCACCAGTCTGCAGCCACCTGGCTTTCCCTGTGGGCTTGTGAATGATCTCCTGTCCTTCTCTCTTGCAGATTTCCCTTTCCCCTTTTCCTGGCTGACTGGCTACCTGGCCATCCTCGTCGGGGCAGGCATGACCTTCATCGTGCAGAGCAGCTCCGTGTTCACGTCTGCCATGACCCCGCTGATCGGTAAGTTCCTCACTGGCATCTCACTTTGGCTACTTGCCATGTCCTGTTGGATGCAAGGGTGAACATCGTGTGGTTCTGTGTTTCTTCCCCAGGTATCGGAGTCATAAGCATTGATAGGGCCTACCCACTCACGCTAGGTGCCAACATCGGCACCACCACCACCGCCATCCTGGCTGCCTTGGCCAGCCCGGGCAATACGTTGAAGAGCTCGCTCCAGGTCAGAGCATGGCATGGGTCAGGGGACTCTGTGGTTATGGGCAGATTTCAACCTTATCTCACTGGTCTCTCACTGGTTGCCTCAGGGTACTGATGTAGTTATCCAGAAAAGAAAAAAGAAAAGGAAACTTTTATCTTATTTTAATGCATGACAGAGAGACAGAGTTATCTTCGATTTGCTGGTTCATTCCCAAATGCCTAAAGAAAACAGGACTGAGCCAGGCCAGAGCCAGGAGCCTGACTTACTCCAGGTTTGATGTGCATGACAGGGACATGGTATTTAAGCCATCACTGCTGCCTGTCAGGGTGTGTGCATTAGCAGGAAGCTGGATCTGAAACAGAAGAGCTAGGATTTGAAGCCTGCTAGGGTTTGAACTGACATTTCATGAGGGTATAGCATCATATGAGGAGACTCATTTTAATAATGAATCCATCATCATGTCAACATGCAATAAATATATATATATGCATATATATTAGATATATATTTCTTTCATGATGAGATCCAGGAATTATGGCTGTCTTCCAAATCCACCTGCTAGCACATCCCAAGGGGGCATAATAGTCCCACTTGTGGCTGGTGGCTACTCTACTGGACAAGGTTCCAGTAGAGCCCTGAGCATGGGAAAGTGGCCAAGTTCTCCTCCTCCATCTGTAATAATGGCTGCCACTTGACAGGTGTCATGGAGAACTGTGTTTATCTGGGTGAGGTGCCCATAGCCTGTGTCCTCATTGGTTGCTGTTGTTGTGGTGTTTTTCCTGACTCTAGCCATCCCTTCCTCCCCCTCCCAGTGCTGACTGAGAATGAACCATTGAACACAGAAATCCAAGGATCCAGTGAACTTCCCTTCTGCTTGCCAGAGGAAGGCAGTAGGGATAAGGCATGTTGGGGTGACAGTAGGCAAAGCCACTGTTGGTGCCTAATGGTCTTCATGGCCTGAAAGTTGATTTGGGATTGTGCCTCCTCCAGTCTCCCCAGATGCATAGTAGGGCCTTGGGGAATATGTAGGTCCCACTGTGTGCTGAGATGGAGAAACAAGGAAGCCCTATGCCGGCCTCCCATGGCCACTCACCTGTCCCCCTCCTGTCTCGTAGATCGCCCTGTGCCACTTCTTCTTCAACGTCTCTGGCATCCTGTTGTGGTACCCAATCCCGTTCACCCGCCTGCCCATCCGCCTGGCCAAGTGGCTAGGCAACACCTCAGCCAAGTATCGCTGGTTCGCCATCGTGTACATCGTCTTCTTTTTCTTCCTGATCCCATTGATAGTATTCGGCCTCTCGCTGGCCGGCTGGCCAGTGCTGGTGGGGGTGGGGGTGCCCGTCATCCTGGTGCTGCTCCTGGTCTTGTGCCTCCGGCTCCTGCAGTTCCGCTGTCCACACGTCCTGCCCAAGAAGCTCCAGAACTGGAGCTTCCTGCCCCTGTGGATGCGCTCGCTGAAGCCTTGGGACCACCTCGTCACGCTGCTCACCGGCTGCTGCCAGAAGCGCTGCTGCTGCTGCTGTCGCGTGTGCTGCCGCCTGTGCTGCCTGCTGTGTGGCTGTAAGTGCTGCCGCTGCAGCAAGTGCTGTGAGGACTTGGAGGAGGGCCACGAGAGCCAGGACATCCCCATCAAGGCCTCCCAGGACACGGTCACGAGCAAGGAGGCCCAGGGCGAGACCAAGCTCCCCATCGATACCCTGGTCACAAAGAGCACGGCTTTCTAAGGGACCCAATCCAGGCTCCAGAGGTCATCACATGGGATGTGCTCTGCCCCCTTTGCTTCTCAGTAACCCCCTCTTCCAACTCCTGGGGCTGTGGTTCCCACAGGTAGCATGTGCACCTCGGACCTGACGCTCACCTCTGGGGCCCAGGCTGTCAGCCCTGTTCTCTGCGTCTTCCCCCACAAAGAAGGACATCCGCGTGGCACCTGGCTAGATAGCTGGTACCTCTCCTTCCACATGGCAGCTGCCCTAGGATCTGCGTGCCCACTCCTACTGCCCTCCAGGGAAGGAAAGGGGGATCTGATGTTGGGGATGGTTACAGAGCTTCTCTTGGGTGCAGAGGTCATTGTGAATGTTCTGTGTGTGCAAACATCCTTCACTCTGACAACCCTGGCATCTGTCTCTTCCCAACCCCCCCAGCCTCCTCCTGGCATCCTTCTGTCTTGGCCCAGGTCCAGAGAGTGAATGTAATGGCTTGGAGACCTGGAGAAGTCCATATGGGAGACTTGGCCACATTGAGTGCTCCCCAAATCCCCTGCTAGGGCTTCCTCACCTGGGCAGGTATGGCTAGCCCAAGCAGTTTACCTGTGCTGTCCTAGTCCCCAGGTTTCTTGGAAGGCAGTCGCACCTGCAGTCCAAGGGGGGTTCAGGTTACTACCCACCTGTGATTCCCACCTTCCCGAGCACAAGGGAGTCCTGTTCCCGAGCCAGGTCTATGATGCAAGGTGACAGTATGGGATGGGCAGCATTTGGCAGGGTTGCTGTTTATTTGCCAAGGAGGGGCCCCAGGTTCTTCACTGGGCTAATTTAGAAGACACATTGCAGCTGTCACCTGATGCCCTTCTCTTGGTCAGATAACAATCACCCCTGTCAAATCTTATAAGAATTGAATTCTGGAAGCCCCCTTCCTCCTCCATTGTCCACCTTGAACTTCAGGAAGTGTTGTGTGTCAACAGCTTCCACTTTCTCTCTGCCTCTTCTTTACTTCCTGGGCCATCTTTGCTCCCAGCCATCCATCCACTGGGACATTTTTCCTACCATTTTCCAGTGAGCCAGTGAGCTTTGTTTCCCTGCCTTCTCTCTGTGAATGCAAAGCTCCACAATTTTCTCCCGGGGCGAGGAACCCAAGGCATGGCTGGGGTGTCCTCAGGGCTGGGGCCCAGGATGGTGGGGCCCACCTGTGCTCATTGCTCATCCTAGATTCTCTTCCTGTGTGAGTCACACTGCTGCTCTTCCTCCCTGTCCAGTGCTCCTAGGCAAGTTTCAGCTTCTCTAGGACAGAGAGTTGGTGCAGGTGCATGCCAAGGTCCTGTGGCCCACCCTGCTCCTATTCCCAGCCTCATAGGTTAGGACACTGCTGAGCCCTCCCCAGACACCCTTGTATAGATAGTAGTTCCCAACAGAGATCTTTATATTTATAGCCGTGCACCATGTACAGCATTTTTCATAAGTTATACAGTAAATAGCACCTGTGGTTTTGTGTGTTGTAGTGCTCTCCTTCAGAAATGAGGAAGGGTTCTTTCTATGACATGTAAAGAAAAGGCTACCTTTGTATATTTTGTTACACACTACCTTCTGAGTGTGCTCTTGCAGCCCTGCACATGCTACACCCTCTGTAAATATGTAGCTAAACTAGACAGCGGCTCAGGCCGACTTTGCGCTCTGATTGGATGCTTGTACCTGTGTTGATTGCATTTTTTCTTTTCTTCTTTTTTTTACTGGTTGTGGGAAGGAAGGAATAAAAGACAATCAAACCCCAAGAAGTGGTGTGGTTTTCATTTACAGAGCTACAGGAGTCTTCCTAGGGCAGAGGTGAGGGGCTGAGTGGTCCCTCACTGTGCATCATCTCTCCCTAGCACCCACCAGCAGGGACAGCTACACAATTTCTCGCCCCCCTCCCATGGTGGATTCTTATTGCATTACTACAGTTCAAATTCAGTTGAGATTCTTTCCTTGCATCTAGGAGCATAGAGTCCAGCATCTTATTGTCCAGATAAATTCAACAGTTTCTTGGGGAGACCATCTCTAGTCTAAAGGTAGAGTCGACAGAGTATCATCCCAATCAATTAAAAACCCCTGACATTACATCAGTAACAATTTATAACGTAATGAAATTAGTTGACATGGTATTGGCTACACAGTTTGTAACAGCAAGTTCCCTTATAGCTACCAGAACAATAAACCTTTCTTTCCCTCCCTGGGGTCTCTCCTAAACTGTCATGAAGACTTGCTATGAATTACCGGTCTAAGTAGAACATTTAAGATTCAAATTATTAGACCCAGCACTGTAGCATAATGGCTAAAGTCCTAGCCTTGAATGCCCTGGGATCCCTTATAGGCGCCGGTTCTAATCCCAGCTACTCCACCTCCCATCCAGCTCCCTGCTATGGCCTGGAAAAACAGTTGAGGATGGCCCAAAAGCCTTGGGACCCTACATCTATGTAGAAGACCCAGAAGAAGTTCCTGGCTTTGGTTTAGCTCAGCCCCAGCCATTGCAGCTGCTTGGGGAGTGAACCATCATCAGACAGAAGATCTTCCTCTCTGTCTCTCCTTCTCTCTGTATATCTGCCTTTCTAATAAAAGTAAAATAAATCTTTAAAAATTGATAAATACAAAAATAAGATTCAAATTATTTTATGAGTCATCTCTTTATCGTGCTCTGCTTTTAAAAGCAAACATAAGGGGATTTTGACTTATGTGGAGTGACTAAAATACACAATGCAGACCCTGCAGCTGGTGACATAAAGGTGTTGCTATGAAGACAGTGGGGGCACCAGGCAAGGCTAAATTGTCTTGATTTAACTTCTCCTCATGTGCCTTCCTTCAACGCTGTCTATGTCATCATCTTTAGCTTCGTTGGTTGACTAACAAACAGAAGAAAGGCTGCTTGCTCAGTCTTTTGCATTTTTAGGAATACTGTCACCTTTGTGCTGGATTCCAAGTCCTGTTGAAAGGGTGTGTTTTTGGTGCTGTCACTCTGATGACTTGGTGACAGCCAAACTAGTTAAGTGTTAGAGCAGAGCAGTTGATTTCAGTTAAAAATGTGCGGGGACAGTATACATCCGGAGCACCTGTTTTTAGAGCAACTGATGCCTGTGCTTGTGGCTGGATCAGCATCACCCAGTGATGTTGAAGATGAGCTTGCGGTGACCTGGAGAGCTGGATTCTACTCCAGGCTCTGATATTTACTTTCTCAGTGTCTATTTCCTCTGGAAAACAAGGCAGTCATACTTGGCTTCCATTGGCTCTTTTTTAAAAAAAGATTTATTATTATTATCATTATTATTATTATTATTATTGTTTTGGAAAGGCAAATATACAGAGAGGAGGAGAGACAGAGAGGAAAATCTTCCGTCCAATGGCTCACTCCCCAAATGGCCACAACAGCTAGAGCTGAGCCAATCCGAAGCCAAGAGCAGGTGCAGGGTCCCAAGGCTCTAGGCCATCCTCTACTGCTTTCCCAGGCCACAGGGAAACAGGTTCTCCGGGATTAGAACCAGCAACCATATGGGATCCCAGTGCGTTCAAGGCGAGGACCTTTAACCACTACGCTATTGCATTGGGCCCCTCCATTTGTTCTTAAAATGAAGCAATGTGTATAAACATTTAGCCCAGCATTGGTTTACTGCGATTGCTTTGGCATATGGTCATGCCTCAGCTGGCACTCACAGCAGGTATTTAAGGTATACTCCTTTATATAGCAGGTCACTTTTATTTTACAATAGTGTAAAAGTGGCACACTTTCAGGAGAAACATGACTTCTAGTTTTGCGTTTTGACTTTTTCCATGGCTGGCAACGTGCGGTGCTAACCGCCCTTGGAACCTGGGCAGGGGCAGCAGTGGCAGCTCCCAGCAGTCATGCGATCATCAGAACAAGCCACTGATTTTTTAAAGATAAATTTATTTTTATTGGAAAAACAGATGTATAGAGACAAAGAGATTGCATCTGTTGATTCATCCTTGAAGGCCCACAGTGACCAAAGCTAAGCTGATCTGAAGCTGGGAGCCTGGAGCTTCTTCTGGGTTTCCCAAAGGGTGCAAGGGCCCAAGGGCCTGGGCCAGCTTCCACTGCTTCCTCAGGCTACAGGCAGGGAGTTGTATGGGAAATGGAGCAGCTTGGACACAAACCAGCGCCCAATTGGTATGCCGGTGCCTGCAGGCTGAGGATTAGCCAATAAAACCATCTTGCCAGGCCCAACCACTGACTTTATGGATGACTGTGTTGCTGCTGAGCTAGGAAGATCCGCAGGCTGGGAGTAGTCAGTGCATATTTGGCTTGGAATCTTTTCAACTCACTAGTTTATTGCAACATAAGCCTATTATAACTCTAAAAGTATCTGTATTTTCCAAGTGAAATGCCAAATCAAGAAGGCCAAGAAATGGAAGGGAAATCTGGCCTTGGAGGGTTTCTTAAACTTTATTTCATTTTTGATTTTTTTTTATTGGGCTAAGCTGAACAAGGGTGTCGTAGCCTGGGGTGAGTCTGAGGACAGGGTTGAGAAGCCACCAGAGGGCAGAGTGCATGGAGCACAAGTCAGGGTGCTGTCTGTCCTCTGCTGGGACTCCGCCTCCAGACAGACAGGGGCAGTGGGGCGTGGTGCTTGGAAAAAGTTTCACATGATTTTTGTCCAAGCTGAAAATCAAGTAGTCCTGGAGAGTTTACAGCAAATGACGCTGTCTTTCGTTGCTCATAATCTTGTCCAGCACTGTGGATGCCACACTTCCTACCTCTTCTAGAGCTTTCTTCCAGTATTTTGTTCCAAAATTAACTTGAGATCAGAATGACTTTTGATCCATGCATCCAGAGCCCTGGTTTTTGGCAGATGGAATTTAGCCTTTCCTACCTTCTTCATATCGCATACTCATTCTCCAAACCAGGCAGTCAACATTTACGTTTTTATCGCTAGGGAAATATGATAAATCACAAAACCAGCATTCTACCCTGGTGTTATTTTCCTAAATCTTTGTGAGTGCTTTTGTACACACAATAATAACACCATTTT